GAGTCCATCCATCTGTGGCACGGCTCAGGCGTTATGAGAGCCCATGTAGCTCAGACTGTGGCCTTCAGCTCTTCTGAACTGTTGGGTCTGGTGTATTGCATCTTCCTCTTCGTAGGTCAGGCCAGTTTGCTGGCCAGTCAAGAACAGGGATACCATGGCCCTTAAACCAGGTACTGGTAGCTTTGGCACCGTGTGCAGGTGCCAAGTCCTGTTGGAAAAGGAAATTTTGCATCTTCATAAAGTTGGTCAGCAGCAGGAAACATGAAGTGCTCTAAAACGTCCTGGTAGATGGCTGCTGTGACCTTTGACCTCAGAAAACACAATGGACCCACTCCAGCAGATGACATGACACCCCAAACCATCACAGACTAGAAACTTTACACTGGACCTCAAGCAACATGGATTCTGTTCCTCTCCTCTCTTCCTCCAGACTCTGGGAGCTTGATTTCTAAAGGAAATACAAAATTTACTTTGATCAGAGAACATAACTGTGGACCACTCAGCAGCAGCCTAGCCCTTTTGGTCTTTAGCCCAGGTGAGGTGCTTCTGGCGCTGTCTCTTGTTCAAGAGTGGCTTGACATAACGAATGCCACAGCTGAAACCAGGTCTTGCATACGTCTGTGTGTGGTGGTTCTTGAAGCACGGACTCCAGCTGCAGTCCACTTTTTTAAATATCTTGATTATCTAATTTACCATTATACCCTTGTGTGATATCTTTTGTATTCTGCTGCTGCTATCCTCTGTCCTTGAGCTGTTGCAATCATGTATTTTCCCCACTGAAGGAAAAATAAAGGTATTCTTAATAATTGCGATTCTCCTGCACGTTTCTGAATGGGTTTCATCTCACAATCCTCTCCAGGGTGTGATTATCCCTGTGTGCTTCTACCACATCTTGTCCTTCCCTTCACCTCTCTGTTAATGTGCTTGGACACCGAGCTCTGGGACAGCCAGCCTCTTGCCCTCTGTGACGTTTGGTTTGTACTCTGTAGTTGAGAAGGCAGAGCGGAAAACACGCAGGACAGTGAAAAACTCACAACCACACTGACTCTGGGAATTCCACATTTGTTCTTTAATACATCTCTTCAACAACCTTACAAGGCAGGCTGAATGGCTGGTCACACATGAAAAAGAAGCCGAGCTCACACAACCCATAACGTCACCTGAGTTTGAGAGAAGAAAATGTAGTCCGTTTCAGTCAATGCGTCCACCTGCAACACGCTTCCCCCACGTTCTGCAGGGCAGGTAGCTAGCGGCGCACACTTGTGACATCATTAACAAACGACTTAGGCTGTCTTAAAGAGACCACACAATCAGCTGTTCCACACATCACAACAGGCTCTGTAGTTCAAAAACAAAAGTTGTGTCTTTAATTGAGATGTGAGAACATGTTCGACTCATGCTGTCTCTTCCAGGACAAAAAGGCATCGGCTTCAAGTCCGTGTTTAAGGTGACCGACTGTCCTGAGATCCATTCCAACGGCTTCCACTTGCGCTTTGACAAGACCTGCGGCCCCATGGGGTACATCCTCCCACACTGGGCTGAGGAGGAGAGGCCTCTGGACCCCCGGCTGAAGGAGCTCCATCAGCACAGGTTGGACTGTCCTGGAGGAAAGTTCGTTTGATTGATCGGTGCATTCGGGTTGTTTCTGATGCATTTATTCTTTGGGGAATTTTCTTCTCAGCTGGACCACCAAAATCAGTCTTCCTCTGCGCTCTGAGAGCCATCAGACCAGGAACCTGTTCCATGATGTGCACCCCTCCCTGCTGCTCTTTCTGCACCGCTTGCGCTCCATCACCATCTACAATGAGGCAAGTCCAGATGTTCCACACACAGAGCACATCATGCAGACCTTTAAACATACCTTTCCTTCCTTTCTATGTCTGCCTGCAGAGTGAGAAGCGACTTGTGAACATGACTCGCAAAAACCTCAGTCACAATGTGATCGAGGTGGAACACACAGAGGGCATCGAGCGCTGGTTGGTGGTCAAAACAACCATAGAGCTCAAAAAGGTGAATTTTATTAGATAACACGCGCTAAGCCTGATCCTGTGACTAATTGGAGATGCAAAACTGTGAGACAATATGCAAAAGGTTTGTTGGAATAACCCAGAATTAGGATTTTTGACACATTTGTGACAGGTTTTGTTAAAGGCTGAGCCACGTGGATGAACAGCTCCCCCTAGCTAACATGGTCAGTTAGCTCTGTGGTGTAAAGCTTGGTTTATGCTTGGTGCATTCACTTTCCGCTTGGTGATGCGGCTCGCGGATGGAACGCGCTTCACAACTCACAGCGTTTATGGTTCATGCGGCTCGTCTCTGCGGTGAGCCAATATTCTGCCAAACTGTAGGGGGCAGCATGGAGCTCTACGGCATGCATCCAACACTACACCATAGTAGAAGTAGAAATCACTGTTTACAACATGGCATTTCAGCATTTTTAACAGCGTCCTCGTCTTTTCCGACAGTACGAGCTATTTCTCTCCAAGAATTATTAACAACATGTTGATCACGGTGATCTCTGAGAGCTGAATCATACAAATGTCTGTATTTACCAACCTCTGCCATACTTGTTCTTGCCGGTCCGCCATGTTTTTCCGCGTCCGACCGTCCGCGTGGTTAGAAATTTTCCTAGGTGCGCGGCAGTGTTGCCAGATCCAAAATCCCACAATATCGTATGGAGAGGCCTAAATTATCGTTTTTCAGTACAAATTATCGTACATTATAAATTTTATAATAACTCCCACGCAGGACGATAAACTTGTGTCCGGTGTTGCTTTGCTTTACCTTCATCCGTCCCTTCTCTGGTTTTTCTTTTAAGATTAGAAGCCATTGTCTTGTCACTCTGTCCTCCTAGCTTAGACTTAACTTGGCGTGCTCGCAGGCGAACAGCAAAAACTGGCGGGCCACTGCCACATTATATAACCTTACAGTTTCTCGCGAGAGTAGGCCCTATCGGTGTGATTGAGCTATTTATTGTACAGAGACCCAGAGTCAGTTTTTGTAATAGACACAATAGCATAAACCTGTAAGCACTGAGGTGAAATCTGACTTCAGAACAGTTTAAAATTATGTAATTGACATGGGAAAGCCACAGCAAAAGACGGTGTTACTAGATGCAATGTGAAATTATCGTACATTTGAGGATTTTTGAAACTATTGATCGTACATCATACAGAGCCCAAAATTATGGTACAAATACGATAATTATTGTACATCTGGCAACACTGGTGCGCGGTGCGGAAATTTTGGGCCGTGCGGAGACGCGGTGGAGGGGCGTGGTTGTTAAAATGACGCAATTTCGCCACGCGGACCTCGCGGACGCGTCAAGCATAAACCAACCCAGGGGCGGCGTTAGGCCCGGCTACTTGGGCTGAAGCCCCGGATCTTTCATGATAAGCCCCGGATCTAAATCGCGGAAGTAACATGCAGTACCAAAGTCACACAGAGAGGGCGCAGCTGGCAGTAGTTTGTAAAGTCCCATTTAGTCGTCACACACACAGGTGTGTGGTGAAATTTATTCTCCGATTTTGACCCATCCCCTGAGTTGCAGACACGCCGCGCTCGGGAACTATTTGGTGGTTTAACCCCCCAATCCAACCCCAATCCAATGCTGAGTGTCAAGCAGGGAGGCATTGGGTCCCATTTTTCTCAAAATCTTTGGTATGACCCGACCAGGAGTCGAACCCCTGATCTCCCGATCTCAGGGCAGACACTCTACCACTAGGCTACTTAGTCAGTATACAGTTTACCTGAGACTGAAGAGAAGCCCTTCAGCAGCTGGCTTCTGCAGTCTCTGTCTGAAACGCATGAGTGAAGATGGATATAAGGACGTTTTTTTAGACCAAAAGTACAACGACAGAACCCCAGCTCTGATGAGACTGGTGTTGACTCAGGTTTGTGAGTCTTATTTGAAAATATTTGTTGTGCTGCTGGTTTGCCTAAAGTTAGCTTACTATCAGGTAAAGTTGTTGGAGAAAGAAAGGGAATATTCACTATCATCTCACACTAAACACTAACAGGAACAATACTCTGCCCTGAATATGCTGAATATGTAGCTTCAGATTAAACATTATGTGGTACAAGATATATATATATATGATGTTGACTAGTGCGTGTCACGTGTGTGCGCGCATGCGTGTGTGTGCGCGTGCGCGCGTGTGTGTGCGCGCGCGCGTGTGTGTTAAGCCCCGGATCTTCTTCAGTCCTAAATCCGCCCCTGAACCAACCTTAAGCTCTTGGGTCTTTAGTGACATTTAGGCGTGTTCTTTCCTCAGATCAAAGAAGACGTGGAATCAACAGAGCTCGCTCTGGCTTTCCAGCTTGGCAACACCATCCCAGAAGGTGAAGTCATGTGTCAGCCTCAGAAACAGCCCGTGTTTGCCTTCCTGCCCCTTCGCAGTTTTGGCTTTCGATTCATCATCCAAGGTGAGAACCAAGTGGTCGTAAATCTTGTGTGTTGGTTGAAAAAACAAACACTTAATCTGTGTCCATATCTCTCCAGGTGACTTTGACATCCCTTCTTCTCGGGAGGATGTTGACAGGGACAGCCCGTGGAACCAGCGTCTTCGCTCAGAAATACCACAGCTCTTCCTCCAGGCCATGGATGTCTTCAATGTAAGGCACCGCTGAATCACTACAGGAAACACAAAAGAGACAGTCAACTTAAAGGCTTCCTTTCAAGAAGAGCTGTCTGCATGATGTGGTGTGTTGGGTTCTGATTCAGGCTCATCCGGAGTTCAAGGGTCTGAGGGGTCTCAGTCAGTTCCTGCAGTTCTTCCCTCTGCCAGATGAGGTGATGGACTTCTTCAAACCTGTCGCTGGGCAGATAATCCAACTGCTGAAAGGCAAGGCCTTCCTCCCGACCATTGGATCAGGTAAGACACCCTGCTGCAGATCTGTGGCTATGCAATCAGAACCACATGACCCTGATTCTGTGCTGCTGCAGATGGTCAGGTTGTGTTCAAGCTGCCGTCCCAGGTGGCCGTCTGTCAGGACACCGTCATCCGAGACGTGATTGGTGGTGACGAGCTAGAAAGGCACCTTTCTCTGTCTTATCTCCACCCGGGCCTAACCCCCCCACCGCCCACCTCCGTCCTCACACACCTGGGAGTTCGACACCTGCGTGGCTCTGACGTTACCACGGTTACCACAGCCATGGCAAAGGAGCTGATGAGAGCGGAGGGAATCCAGTCAGGTGTGTGCAGATGCGCAGCGGCGTGATAGGGGGTAAAGTCTGACTTAGGCCAGTTGGTGCATCTCCAGTAAAAACTCAAGAGGTCTCTGGAAAGTCAGCGTATGAAAGTTAGAGTTAGTGTGTGCATGTGTGTGTGTGTGTGTGTGTGTGTGTGTGTGTGTGTGTGCGTGTCTCCATTTAGTTTACATAATGTTTGTTTATCTGTCTTTGTTCCAGAGGGAAGCCTTCGAAAGCTGGCCAGGCTTCTGGTGTGTAACTTTCGAGCTATGGAGCATGGCTATGGAGAGGCGGATTCCATCCTGCAAAGCCTCAGGGAGCTACCCATAATCCCTCTGGCTAACGGGCAGGTAGTGGCACTAAATGGAGAGGGCGTGTTCTTTCCCATGGAGGAGCCCAGCTCTAACAAAAAGAAAGGGAAAGCCCCGACTCAGTCAGGTAATCATGAGTTTAGTAACACTGTCTCTGCTCACAGTTAAAAACAGACGTTTTCTCAGTAAACTACTAAAAAGCCGTGTTCATCAGTGCTTGCTTTGGTGACTGAATGGGGGCCCCTCTGTGTGGTGGTGATAATTGTGCCAGATATTGTACAACAAAACGGGGGCATTGGGTTTTGAGTGGTAGCCTTGGTGGTCTGATCCTCGGCGACAGAAGCTGGCTCTCGGTACGTGGAACGTCACCTCTCTGGTGGGGAAGGAGCCAGAGTTGGTGAGGTTCAGAGGTTCCAGCTTGATTTCCTCGGGGAGGGTTGCTCCGTCTGAGAGGTGCCAAACAGCAGCGGGCATGCTTGTTACCCCATCTTGGTGACTGTGGTTTGTGCTTATGCACCAAACTACAGTTCAGACTACCCACCCTCTTTTGGGACCAATCGGGGGTGCCGGTGAGCGCTCCTTCAGGTGACTCCCTCGTTCTCCTAGGGGACTTTAATGCTCACATGGGCAACGACGAGACCTGGAGAGGTGTGGTTGGGATGACTTGCTCCCCTGATCTAAGTCTGAGCGGTGTTTTTGAACACCATGTGCAGGCATAAAGGTGTTTGTATGTGCTCTTGGCACCACTATGCTTCAGGCTGCAGCTCAATGATCGACTTTGTTGTCGTCTCATCTGAACTGCGGCCGCATGTCTTGGACACTCGGGTGAGGAGAGGGGCGGAGCTGTCAACTGAAAACTACCTGGAGGTGAGTTGGCTTCGATGGTGGGATAGGATGCGGGTCAGACTACGGCCCATTTTGGACACTGACAGAGGGTTAGTGCTTGTTTGATGTGTCCTTCTTCCTGTTGGTCTCTTCGTATAATGTTCTGACTACTGATAGTTTGAGTGCCGTGGGTTGTCCAGATGTTCAGAGCAGATATTGGCCTGTGCATGTGGGTTTTCTGTATATTGTGATTTTTATGCTGCCGTCGTCTATGTGGTGAATGTTCATGACTAGAAATGCTATTGTTTTGTTTGCTTCCTCTTCATGTGTGAGTCAGAAGTGTTCAGGTGGTCTGTGAGTTGTTGTGCGTGTCCAGTTTTTATTGTTTCCCAGATGTCGTCCACATATTTCCTCCAGAACATGGGTCTGATGTGTGCAGGCGCTGTGTTGATGGCCTTTTCTTCCAAGTCCTCCATGAAGTCCCCGCTCATTATGGCTGAGAGCGGGTCTCCCATGGCAAAACCTTCTTTTTGTCTGTATATTATATTCTTGTACTGGAAATATGTGGATTTCGCTACAAAGTCTAAAAGTGTGGATATGTTGTCTACTGTGAGATTTGTCCGTTTCTTCAATGATCTGTCCATTTTTAGGCGTTCTTGGGTGTGTAGAGTAACATCTATGGGGGTTTTCTGAATAGTGAAATAACATTGTGTGAAATGAAAATAAGTTTCTTTTCCTATTTTCACTGTTTTGAGTTCTTCAACCAGTTGTTTTGAATTGCTACAGTGATGTTCCGATAGTCCCAATAGAGGCTGGACATCTCCACCAGGGCTCTGGATAGGTGACTGATCCGATGCTGCCCCCTGTGGGGGCGCAGTGGGGTGTCTGTTTTAGGGATTTTTGGAGTGCCATAGATCTGCGGGGTCACATTGGCTGTTGGCGCTAAGTGTTATGCATATCTTGGCTCATTTTATTGCATTTGACTGGTTTTAGTAGTTTTTAAGGTTCTCTTCTTTTCTTCTGTCAGGTCTTTTTTCATGGTTTCATGTGTTACTGTCCTTTAAAGGGACTTTACAGAGTTTTGAATTTTTATGCTCGTGATTGCCCCCTCAGGCCAAAAGCGTAACGGCAGCTTCAATAGTAGGCTCGTGCACGAGGCGCACATGCTCTACGTACACACTCCTTAACGAAAATAACAGCTGAGACAGTCCTGTGTGTGTGTGTGTGTGTGTGTGTGTGTGTGTGTGTGTGTGTGTGTGTGTGTTGGGGGGTGGGGGGGACAGAGGACAGGAGAACGCGCAGCTAATTAATTAAATAATTTGGTTCTGTACCTTTCTCTTCAGCACAGCCGACAAAGGTTTATGATGGGTCAGTCCTCCTGCATGCTCAGATCATTCCCTTCCCTTGCTTGAAAAATTGTTCCAAAATGAAAGTTGAACCCACATCTTTTTTTATCTGTGAATTCAATGCCGTTCGGCGAGTCTCAAATAAAAATTTGGGCATCTTACTGAAAAAAAAATACCATTAATGTAAAAAAGAAACTCTAAATAAACTATGTTCACATCCAGAATCGAACTCAGGTCTTCTGCACGAGAGTCAGACATCTTACTAGGTGAGCTAAAGCGCCAGTGATATCATTTGTATCTGTAACATTTATATCCTTGATCACAGCTGAAACAACGTTCAAAGAAGGGTTTGGAGTGAAAATGGCTATTTTGTTGCTAATTTGCAGGAAATATCTAGAAGAAAGTTCTACAGAAAGTAGCTAAGGGTCCTCAGAAATGTAGCTAGCTTTGTCACTAGGCGTTAGGAACAGCGACAATGTCACTGAGTTGGCACTGCCTCTCTCTCTGCTGCTAAAGCTACTGATAGCAAATGCTACGGGCTATGCCTGAGCGTGAACGTGCATGAAGCAGCCTGCTCGACCCGAGAATCTCTCTCTTTCTGTGATTTTACAGAACAACAGGCAATCACAGTAAAAATGCCAGGGCTCATTCTACAGGACCAGGGCATTGCAGGAGAATGTATGAAGAAGACATTTATTATTTCTATACATGTTTTGGCTGTCAGACTTCCATGATGTCTGTTTAACATTGTTTCCATCTTCTGTTCTGTTTTTGTATCCATTACCACTTCCCTTGCCAGCTGGTAGGATTGTTATTGATGTGTCGCTTTTAGAGCATTTATTCTTTGTTCTTCTCTTGTGGTGTTGTTTTGGTGTAATTCTGCAGCCTTCGAGATGCTTGCAACTTCATTGCTTTTTTCACTCTTCTTTTATTTTTTGACATGTAATTTCTAGTGATGCACCGATATGAAATGTTTGAGCCGATATCCAATATTGATATCACTGTTATGGCCGATAACCGATATTTGCCGACACCGATATACGGACATTAGTGCTTCTATAGTCAGCAGATAAGTATAGAATGAAAATGATTAAAGCTGAATTTATGTTATTATGTACACACAACACACACATTTATGCTTCTGAGATGATTACAATTACTAAACAAATACACATCACCCCCCCCCCCCCACCCTCTGAAACAGATAAACAAACGGAGACAAGGTGGAAAAAATATTGGTTGTTAATATCGGCTCGGTTTCATTTATTGGACCGATACCGATATAGTTAAAAAATTATGTGGAAGTCCACGTCAAGTCCAAGTCCTTAACTTTGAATTTTAAAGTCATCTGTCCAACTTCAATTTAATCACAATGATAATAAATAAATTCCAGAAAAAATCTTCTTAAAGCTTCATTTATTTGCTGAAACAAGCAGAAAGTGCAACTGGAACTGATTATAAACAAAGTGCTTCTGCATTTAGCAGTAAATCAAACCCAGAACCAAGAATGATTTATGATTTTCGTCCATCTCGTGCTACTTTTGTGTAAAAATATCAAATATGCTCAAGTCATCAAGTCATTTCCAGTCGCAAGTCATTGGCGTTCAAGTCCAAGTCAAGTCAAGTCATAAGTCTTTATAGATTTGGTCAAGTCAGAAATAATTAAAATAATGACTCATGTGACTCGAGTCCACACCTCTGGTTCAGAATAACTTAGTCCAGGTTTAAAAGGTATAAGTATTGTAAATGAGAGCAGAGTAAAGATGCTCAGGGAGTGGAAATACTGTATGAGTTAGAATTGCCCTTTCTGACTCTAAAACTAAAAATGGGAACCAACTTCAGATTGATCTGGTACATCTCTTTAGCTTTTTGTAAGAATTGTAATCTTTTGTTCTTGATTAAAAAGAGAGAGTCATCACATCATCAATCAACCTCTGACTTGTGCCATAAGTAGGGATGGATGATCCACACAACTCTTATGGTTGTTTTTGATCCAGTATCAAGTGTTGATGTGTACAAACCAGCTGTTTTAACTCACGAAGGCTGCAGGTCTGTTGTGTATGAGCAGAGCGCACAGCGGGAGAAAGCTTGTAAGGAGCATGCACGTTTTTGCAGCTTAGTCGGAGCGGTGGAGAAACGCGTTTCAGCAACAGAACCGACCGGAATACTGACGTAACACTGGTGCACAAAGGTGCAGGTTTCATTTAGCAACAGGAGAGAGAAGGGGAGAGGGCAAACACAGCGAGAGAGAGAGGGAGGGACCAGACTGGTAGTAATGTTTTGAGCTAAACTGCAGAAAAAGTGTGTGTGTTTAACCTCTTCATTAGATAAAGTGTGGGTGCTAAAACATCCACATCCCCCACAGGTGCGACGCCCATGCTGAGAAGATATTGCAGAATAAAGAATGTAGATCTTAATATTAAAAACTGTGAAACCATGTAAACCCTTTATTCTGCCTTTCAGACATTTTTGTCTTTGTCATTAGTGGGAACAGTGAACAGGAGGAGTGCTGACAGTAAATAAAGTTGGTTTTCAGGTCAGTGGCTGCAGTAGGAACAAGGTCTGTGGACAGCACAAACCTCAGGCTGTGTTTCCACATGAAGCCAGCTCTTCAGAGACAGCTAAGTTAGAAGCAGTGTTCTTCTGAAATATTGAGCAGAATAGACATCAGCGGGGAATCCAGGCTCTCGCCTTGTCAGAGTAGACCAGTGGGTCATTAGTTTTAGAGTAAAGAGGGTATATCAGGATGTTAAAAATCAGATTTCAAGTTCTATTCTGTTCAAGTTTATTTATATAGCGCTGAGTCACGCCAAGAGTCGTCTCAAGGCACTTCACATAGTAAACATCCCAATACAGGCCAGTTCATAAAGCCAATCAGTGAAAAGTTTCCTACATAAGGAACCCAGCAAATTGCATCAAGTCACTGACTAGTGTCAGGGTCTTTACAGCAATCCTCATACTAAGCAAGCATGTAGTGACAGCGGAGAGGAAAACTCCCTTTTAACAGGAAGAAACCTCCAGAGAATCCTGGCTCAGTATAAGCAGCCATCCTCCATGACTCACTGGGGATGGAGAAGACACACACACTAGGGGTTGCATGACTTGATTTTTTTAAAAGTCGACAGTCAAGTAATGAAAATCGAGTCGACTTAGACTAGTTGTTGATGACGTCATACCCCTGAAAAGTGCCGGGGGGGGGGGGGGGGGGCACATTTTCTAAGTTAACATATCTCTTTTAACAACGGTAGTTTCTGCTTCAGCCCTCCCCCCCTCCCCCTGCGCAGCGGGGCAAACTCACTGATGCGCCTGCAGCCTCTCGGAGTTCCTGCTACTCTAAACATTAAAATAATTATTTCATTTTCTGTTCCTCACTTCTGATTACCTTCAATGGTGTCTGTTTGTTGCAACCACCAGGTACAAAAACTAACTTGTTTTTATTTGACTATTTTTCTGTCCTGCCGGTTGATAATCTTCCTGCATCTCCTCTCAATCCTAAAGAAAAACTGCTACCTGGATTCATTTATATTCACCTCATGAGTTACCTTTGAACTGCAGTTCTAAGATCTACCGACCAGAAAACAGCGGAGTGCCGCTGCTCGCTGGCCATCTACGGGACCGTTTTTGCTGCGGAGTTTGTGCCGGAGCGGAGATAGTGGAATTTTGGGGGTGCGTCACCGGAGGATAAAACAGGTGATGTGCCTCGCTCCGCAGCAGCGAAACGCATCAGGCACAAACAACAGACAGAAAACATTAAAGGAAATGAGCCGACATGAACGATCACATGTTTAATTTGTTTTTGAGGTGGTGACACCTGATTTGGTGGTCCTCAGGGCGCAGATGTCTGGAGCGCATCAACGATCAGAGCTTTGCATGCGTAAACTGGTTAAGGTTAGGATGGGGGTGAAGGGAAGGTAAAATTACAAGAGAGAAAAGGTCACAGTTTGGTTAAATGTCCGTTTTACCGCCGGTGTCAGTACCGACGCTCTGGCACAGTGCGTTGCCTCCGCCTCCCGACGCAGGGGCTCATCACCTGCTGTCTTTTCTGAGGACTGCATCTAGTCAGTCATTATCACGTGACAGTGACTAGTCGATGACAGGCATAAAAAGTCACTATAGAGCCGTGAAGTCGACTAGTCGACTAGTTCATACAACCCCTAACACACACACACGTTTATATTGTGATTTCTTAGTAAATATTCTATTTGGCGAGAGATAAACTTTATTGTATTTATCCTAGTGGATCTATAATTAAACGGGTAAATGAAGGTTGGTTTATGCTTGACGCGTCCGCGAGGTCCTCGTGGAAAAGTTGCGTCATTTTGTGTCATTTTAACAACCACGCATCTCCGCACGGCCCAGAATTTCCGCAACGCTCACCTCGGAAAATTTCTAACCACGCGGACAGACGGACGGACGTGGAAAAACATTGTGGACTGGCAAGAACTAGTATGGCAGAGGTTCGTAAATACAGACATTTGTATGATTCAGCTCTCAGAGATCACCGTGATCAACATGTTGTTAATAATTCTTGGAGAGAAATAGCTCGCACTGTCGGAAAAGACGAGGATGCTGTTAAAAATGCTGAAATGCCATGTTATAAACAGTAATTTCTACTTCTACTATGGTGTAGTGTTGGGTACATGCCGTAGAGCTCCATGCTGCCCCCTACAGTTTGGGAGAATATTGGCTCACCGCAGAGACAAGCCGCATGAACCATAAACGCTGCAAGTTGTGAAGCGCGTTCCATCCGCGAGCCGCATCACCAAGCGGAAAGTGAATGCGTCAAGCATAAACCAAGCTTTAGCAGCAGCAAATTCAACGTAAAGGAAAGTAAAACGTTATTATCAGGAGAGGGAGAATGTTTAAGTGGTTAGCAGCAGTGTGCTAGACGATGGCCCCCTCCATGAGGCCACCACAGCTCAGCAGAGCATCATTGTAGCTTCTTCTGGGGAGAAAAACACTTAAAGAAAAAATAAAGTTAACAGCTGAAATAGCAGGAAATAATACAGTTAAAGAGCAGATTGTAGAAGAAAGTAGTCGAGTGTGGAAAGTTGTCAGTGTGTCCTCCAGCAGTCTAAGCCTATAGCAGCATAACTACAGAGATAACTCTGGATAACCTAGCCGTTTTAGATGGAGACATGTTGGAGGCAGGGCAAGGGAGAGCCGTCTTTACCGACTGTACACTCCACCTCCCTCTACTCCCCCACTTGTCCAGATCTAGGCTAACATCAGATTTTAACCATAGGCCCTATCAAATAAAAATGTTTTGAGCCTAGTCTTAAAAGTAGACAAGGTGTCTGCCTCACGGACTAAAGCTGGGAGCTGGTTCCACAGGAGAGGAGCCTGATAACTAAAAGATCTGCCTCCCATCCTAATTTTAGATATTCTGGGAACCACCAGTAAACCTGCAGTCTGAGAGTGAAGTGCTCGGTTAGGAACGTATGGAACAATCAGATCACTGATGTATGATGGACCTTGATTATTAAGAGCTTTATATGTGAGAAGAAGGATCTTAAAATCTATTCTGAATTTAACAGGTAGACAATGTAGGGAAGCTAAGACAGGAGAGATATGATCTCTCTTTTTAATTCTCATCAGAACTCTAACTGCAGCATTTTGGACAAGCTGAAGACTTTTAACTACATTCTGTGGACTTCCTGAGAGTAATGAATTACAGTAATCCAGTCTTGATGTAATAAATGCATGAACTAGCTTTTCAGCATCACTCCTGGAAAGGATACTTCTAATCTCAGCAATGTTGGTGGAAAAAGGAAATCCTACAAACCTGTTTAACGTGGGATTCTAATGACATGTCCTGGTCAAAGAGAACACCAAGGTTCCTTACTTTGTTCTTGGAGATTAATGTAATGCCATTCAGGTCAGGTGACCGACTCAGCAATTTCCTTTTCTGGATTTCTGGTCCAAAGATGAGAACTTCCGTCTTGTCTTGATTTAAAAGCAAAAAGTTTAGAGTCATCCAATTTTTTATGGACTCGACTTGGACTTAGTTGTCTTTGACTTGGACTTGAGACTTGATTGGAAAGACTTGTGACTTGGTCACACCTCTGTTCTGCACTAATAGCACCTTAACCCTCTCAGGCTCAAAATAATTTAGATAAAAGGACGAACAACTAAGTCCTTCAGGGGTACTTCTGACTTAAAAAAGGCTCATGAAACACGTATGTGGAGTAACCAGGTAGGTAGGTTTTAACGTTGCAAATCTGCAACGCCTGCCTCCAGAGGGGCACAGCATGAAGTCTAAACTGACTCAACAGTACGTTGACGTCCCCGAGTGAGAGAATCTGCATACATCCAACAGAAAAATCCCGGAGGACACACAGATCCAGTCTGTCAAAACTGACTTACGATGTTAGCTGTTAGCAGGGATAATGGGGTCCGGTTTTATTAATCTTGAAATGGGACATGATTCCTTTCATTCATCCTTATTTGGTCATAATTTCACACATTTGGGTCAGAGAGCAGGAGACAGAAAACTCTTTAAATGAGCTGAAATTACCTGACATTGGCTGCAGTGTGTCTCTGGTAACTCAGCACTGATTTAGCCTTTGCATGATGCCTTTTCAACAGGGCCTCTTTCTGCCTTATACGAAGACGTAGTGGTGGTTCATCCCTCCCTCCTGAACTGCCTGGAGGCGCTGGAGAATCAGCAGGTCCGAGAGCTGCTCAAAAGACTTGGTGTTCACGAGCTGGAGCCGCAGGAGCTGCTGGAGCAGCACATCTATCCCACAATACGCAACAACAAGTGGAAGGTAACACAACAGCCTCCAGGAGAACCATCATCAGCTGTTTTCATTTCCTCTGCTCTAAACGCTTGTCTTTACTTCATTCGTCATCCTCCTCTTCCTGTGATTTCCTCCATGACTCAAGTCAAAGTCGGAGTCGGTGGTTGTGAGTTACTTGGTATTCATCAAGCAGCATTCGTCCAGTGGTCAGGAGTTCTCAGATGTGGCAGTGCCTGTCCTCACCAGCAGGGGGCTGCTGTGTCCGGCCACAGAAAGGGTTCATTTCTCCGAAGAGTACGGCAACATCAACCTGGAAAAGAAGCTGCCTGGTAGGGAGAGACCTGCACATCTGTCCATTGACACGCACGCACGCACGCACACACACACACACACACACACACACACACACACACACACTACGCAAGGAAACTCCAGCGTTGGTTTTGGCCACGTGAAAGCTCAGTGAAGACACGTTTCAGAGACGTGTCTTCCCTCATCAGTTCAGCTCAGCAGACACAGCTGTAGGACCTGAGACGTGTGTCCCTGAGGACAGAGTTAGTGTTGGGGCACTTAGTGCATTTACACACACATCATAAAACCAAAAGCCTCAAATAGACCCATGTCGTTTGCATGTAGTCTGGCTTAGGACGAACTGGTTCTAGTCAAGGAGTGGGCGGCCGACCAAAATTACCCCAAGAGCGCAGAGACAACTCATCCGAGAGGTCACAAAAGACCCCAGGACAACTTCTAAAGAACTGCAGGTCTCACTTGCCTCAATTAAGGTCAGTGTTCACGACTCCACCATAAGAGAGAGACTGGGCAAAAATGGCCTGCATGGCAGATTTCCAAGACGCAAACCACTGTTAAGCAAAAAGAACATTAGGGCTCGTCTCAATGATTGCCAAGACTTTTGGGAAAATACCTTGTGGACTGATGAGACAAAAGTTTTTGGAAGGCAAATGTCCCGTTACATCTGGCGTAGAAGTAACAGCATTTCAGACAAAGAACATCATACAACAGTAAAATATGGTGGTGGTAGTGTGATGGTCTGGGGTTGTTGTGCTGCTTCAGGAACTGGAAGGCTTGCTGTGATATATGGAACCATGAATTCTACTGTCTACCAAAACATCCTGAAGGAGAATGTCCGGCCATCTGTTCGTCAACTAAAGCTGAAGCCATCTTGGGTGCTGCAGCAGGACCATGACCCAAAACACACCAGCAAATCCACCTCTGAATGGCTGAAGAACAACAGAATGAAGACTTTGGAGTGGCCTAGTCAAAGTCCTGACCTGAATCCTATTGAGATGCTATGGCATGACCTTAAAAAGGCGGTTCATGCTAGAAAACCCTCAAATAAAGCTGAATTACAACTATTCTGCAAAGAAGAGTGGGCCAAAATTCCTCCAGAGCGCTGTAAAAGACTCGTAGCAAGTTATCACAAACGCTTGATTGCAGTTATTGCTGCTAAGGGAGGCCCAACCAGTTATTAGATTCAGGGGGCAATTACTCTTTCACACAGGGCAATGTAGGTTTGGATTTAGTTCTGTCCCTAAATAATAAAAAACATCATCAACCATCAATCTAATCAAGCTGAAGTACCCAGATAACGCTGTTGATGCCTGACTTCCTGTAAAAGACTCCGTCCACCTGATACTGGTTGGACACACCTGGGAATGACGAGACCATGAGAAGCAGCCATAATATCAGAAAATATCATCGCCACAAAGTAACACCACCAAACAGGACAGTACGTACCAAATGAGCTGTGCTGCAGCGTTGTTGTCCATTCCTTCAGCCATTATGCTTATTCTGATTTAACTCCGCCTCTTTTCACTCTCGCCAGCGTTTGTTTACTATTTGTGTTGCTATAAGGTAACCGGAAGAATACCGACACGAAAGGGCGCGTGTCGCCACCTACTGTAGAGAAGTGGAGCGCACTTCATCAGAGATTTGGGTTTTGTCATGTGCATGTAAACTAGAAACAGAAGAAACGAGCGTTAGACAAGAATACAATAATGGGAAAAAGAATCTAAAATAAATGTGAATTTAAAAAGTCAACGATAAAGGTTATCAGGGGAGCCTGAAAAAGACACAACTGACAGAAACAGCAGCTTGAAGAGATGCTGGTGAGGAAGAAGAAGACGAAGAGGAGGTCACACCAAAGCTTGAACAAGTGAGTCTTCAGCTGCTTTTTAAAGGAGACCACTGAGCCCACTGATCTCAGGCTCAGGGGGAGAGGGGTCCAGTCTGGGGGCCACAGCAGCAAATTATCTGTCACCTTTGGTCTTTAGCCTGGTGCTGCACAACCAGTAGGCTTTGGTCACTGGACCTCAGGGACCTGCTGGGGGTGTCAGCACTAAGGAGATCACCAATGTGAGATGGTGCTTGTCCATGTAAGGCCCTGAAAACCAGGTTGTTGCTGTAGAACTAGATCAACTTAGATGCACATGTAAACACACCAAACGAGACCAGCAAGGACTAGAGGGAGGAAACGGCAGCTAAACACGAAGCCAGCGGTTTCCCTACAACTGCACTTTAATCATCTCATCCGATGAGGAGCTCACCTGCCTTCAGACTGAACAGACAGAACGTTTGGGATTAAATGGCACAAGCAGCTCGGTGTCCCTTTACAGGACTTTTTAATCCAGTTTATAATATAAAACGTTTAAAATTAAAAAGCTTCATTCATCAAACATGGAATTCAGAAAATAATAAAATCTTTATCCCATTCATGGGCTAATGTTTCTCTTTTCTGGCTGAGTTAGTGTTTTTTAACCTTCTGCTCTCCCCTCCATCAGGCTACAGCTGGAGCCTGCTGAGTCCCTGCTATGTGGAGGCCGACAGAGACGTGGCCGGGTGGAGAGACCTGTTCAGCAGACTGGGAGTCAAGGACGGCCTCATCATCTGCAAAGAGAGACGGACGCTGACTTCTGAAGAACTGGTATAACAGCTGCTTACACACTCGTAGGTCACTGTGCGGACATGCACGTTAAACCCAGATAATGATGGGGATGGGGTGTGTGTGGACTCAGTATTTACTGGTTGCACAGAGACACAGAGTCTTCATCTGAATGGGAGCCATCATGACGAACAGGTGAGTGATTAAAGGATGAAAATATGAGGGGTTATGACTCAGCAGGATCAGTCGGAGAAGAGCAGGAGACTGATGGGACAGGTGACACTCTGCACATCTCACATTCCCGATGCTGGTTTTAGCCCGGGCTTTAGCAACAAGGGGTTTGGGATGACACCATCCATCACTGTGTGACCAAAGTCCCCTTCATGGAACAGGGAGGTGCTGGTGCCGACTCGTCAGCAGAAGAGCCTTTTCAGTTGCCCTTTGAGATCAATCCAAATAGACCAGAATGGGTATCAGCAGGTCAGAGCAGTCCAAAAATCACAACCAGAATCTGTGCATCTTCAGCAGCATCCGGGAGGGAGGGAGAGAGGGTTTACACGATCGGCCCCTCCGATCACCAACAACACAGGAAGTCAGGACAAGTGTCTTGCCCAAGGACACAAGGGCAGAATTTCCTGGAGTGACCTGGGATTGATCTAGCAACCCTCCGGTTACTGAACATCTGGCTCTACCTAATGAGCTGCCTTTAAGCCCCCCCCCCCCAGTTCCATCCCGGGCAGAATCTTGTACACATGACCCGTTAACAGTCCTTCACAATAAGAGCACACTCCTAACACTTGAAATGCCTTTTAGTGTCCTCTTCCTGTAAGAGCTCGGCATGCCGGATGCATCGTGCTTGTGAATGACGAACATTACCACTAGTGATCATACAACCAGCTCTCAAACACCCCGGCGAGGACCCTGGGCTTAGTTTAATAACAAAACATCCACACACCTCATCCTAATGAGGCCTTACAGTCGTCCTGTTGAAATCTGTTTCATGTCTTTCTGGTTCTGGTGCACAGATCAGACATCAGAGCTGCTCTAGCTCAGTAGAGAGAAGAGGTTCTGCCTGCAGGAGACCGACGCGACCCCTCCGGCCCAGCTGGCCCAGACGAATAAAAACTTTTAAGTGAGATGTCGTTATAACTGTGGAGCTCATTTGTTTTCCTGTGGCACCTCCCAACAGGCCTCCAGTCCCTGGTCGGCTGAAAGTGCAGCGTGGCACCAGAGCCCAGGGGAGGCCTGTGTGCTGGATGACTACCGCTGTGAGGAGTTTTACAGCCTGGCTACAGCTCAGCTGCCTGGTTCCCTCCTCCAGCAGCAGAGGATGGAGCTGCTGGCGCTGCTGGAGAAGCACTGGGAGACCGGGTAAAACATACATCACCTCATTTTAAAAAACAACAGTAGGGCTGCCATGATTGCACCCCCCCAAAAAAACAAACCTGATCTTTTATTTGATAGAATATTGTGTAAAATGATTAAAAGGGTCCAGCATGACTTTAAATATTTATCCGCTGAGGAGGCGGGGCCTCCAGGCCTGTACCAGTGCCTTCTGGGACCAGTTTAGTGGTATTTGTACATTTTAGCTGCATGTTGCTAACTAGAGATGATCACAGGGGCCACACTGAGCCTTGAGTTTGACCCACACGAGCGTTAGACACGACTAAGGTCCTTCAAAACCGAAGCTGCAGCACCATGATGGCTCCACTGTAGCTTGGATGGAGCTGACTAATGACTGGAACCAGTGCAGACCAGTGAGAGACTGGTGAGCGTCGGCTGCAGGTCTAGATAGTTAGTCTGATTGTTTCCTTAAGCTGTAACACATCAAACCCTGGGACTGATGGGGTGTGTGTTCATCTTTTATAGGACTCAATACCAATCTGTTTTCAGATTCGTAACAAATCCTCCGCTATCCTTGCAGACATTGTTACTCGCAGTACCTGACAGCCCAGGTGATAGACCACGATGGGCGGGTGGTCAGAAACACCAGGTCCTCCTTCCACCACTTCCTGTGCTGCCTTGAATGGATCCCAGCTCACCGCCCAACTCGGGAAGGACCGCAGGAGAGGAAGTTCCTCCGTCCAGATTCGGTCTACGTCACGTCACCTGAAGTCACCAAGCTGCTGGGGACTCACGTGTTCTATGTGGACACAGACTCCAGCCAGTTCAGCAGAGATCTAGGTGAAAACGAGCCCAGACTGGTGTTCTGTAGCTGCTGCTGGCAATGGACCTGCTTTAACTCCCATCTCCATTATAGGGATGAGAGAAACCATCTCAGTAGAGGTTCTGATCCAGTACCTGAAGGAATGGTGTGTCCACCCAGAGGAGGACAACCAGGAGCAGGAGGCAGAGGGGGCTTGTTTCACTTCCACCATTCAGCACATCCATGACGTCTACAACTATCTGCACACCAACTGTTCCCAGAGCAGCCTAAAGGAGCTGTTCCAGCACACCCCTGCTGTTTTTGTCGAGACTAAGAGGTACGGCCTGTGCTTTAATTCAGATTAACATCAAAACCCAAACCAGAGTGTCTCAATAAGACCTGGTCTCCACAGGGTCAGCGAGACGTGGTGTTCAGGACGCTTCCACCATCTGAAGGAAGTGTGCTGGAGTGACACTACCTTCATGTTTCAGCGCTACAGGTGGCTGATGCAGAGAGCAGACAGCCCCGTCCAGGAGCCCAGGGTCCTGGCTCCGTTCTACAGTCAGCTGGACGGCATGCAGGACTTCTTCATCAGAGTAAGCTGCTCTGTTCGCTCCACAGGAAGTAGGCGGAAAACAGATAGATTTTCTTCATATTTAATGAGCTGTGGCCGAGTCATCCCCCATCACCCTTAATGAAGCTTAAGGTCATCAATCCCCTTCTATTTATAGGCTGTCAGGCACCAAGCAGTAAGGCATAAAAGACCCAGGTGTTGGATTCAAAACGGGTTTTTATTTACCCTCAAACACAAAAAAGGGATAACAAAGCAAAACCTAGTGGTGTTGTGCTCGAGCAGGTGGCTCGACTCTCGATCTTTCAAATCAGAAGTGTTGACAAAGACGTGCCGATGCCTCGCTTCGTTGTGCATAAAGCCTGAGTCATGCGGCTGCGTCAGTGCAGGGACACGCATCGCCATTACCCGCCCTCGCGGGCCTGCTGGAGAGCCCCGCATGGGCGTACGGAGTCGAGCTCCCTTTTCTAAGCATCTGTCCGTCGAGACGGAGAACGCAAGCTTGTGATTGGTCAGGGCACCGCTGTCGTCTACAGCGCCGCCATTGCGCCCTCAAAAACATGGAGAGCCGAGGATAACTAGCGGCAGACACGGAGCAGCTTGAAGAATACCTCGCGTAAAACATGAACATTTAATTCCCCGTGACTGGAGGAGTGAAAAGATGCACAGCAAGCGTTTTATTTGTGTACGGAAATGACAGGAAACGTGGGTTTAGAGGTGGCGAGCGCATGAAGTGGAGGATGAGAGACAAATTTGTCTGTGTTAAAAAGTCTCTCATACACAAAAAACACAATATAAACACACTATCCTGGACCGATACATGACAGGATACCACAGAACAGCGCTACGCCCTCTGCTGTCCTGGTGGGGAACTGCTTTGCAACACTCCCCAGGAGACGGAGAAATATGAGGGCTAAACATCTCCGTGCATGCGTCTCTCCCTGTTGGAGCTGACGGAGAAGCATGACTCGGACTTTAGGACACGTAACATAAAAAACGCTTTGCGGCTGAGACTCTTCCGGTGTGCAGCGATTGCCGCTAGTAAACCTTCCGCTGCCGATCCACTCCGCTGATTCTTCTAGTGTGCAGTAGGGGTTAGGCTACCTTTTTAATGGGAAATGGCCCGCGTGACACAGTTTAGACACCACTGTTACACTTTTATTAATCCCAAGGCGTTCCCTGGTCAGCCGAGAAACATTGTGCCACCACCGTATCCTGGGTCTTTCTTTGGGTTTCCTCCTGGTTGGACGTGCCCGGAAAACCTCACCAGGGAGGCGCCCAGGAGGCATCCCGACCAGATGGCCGAGCCACCTCAACTGACTCCTCTCAATGTGGAGGAGCAGCGAATCTACTCCAAGCCCCTCCCAAATCACCAAGCTTCCCACCCTATTTTTACAGCTAGTTTTCCAGGAGCACTGCTCAGCCTAAAACAGCTCTGTACAGCGGGGTTTGAGTCAGCCCATCTGGGTGTAGTTTTGTTTCCAAAATTTGTTTTGTTTTCGTGACATAAAGTGGGTGCGCCTAGTTTTGGGCGGTATACCGGTTCACACCGAAAACCGGTGTTTATTTTGGTTATGATATGGATTCTTCACATACCGCTATACCGGTGAATGGCCTAGACAACGTACAGAATGTTCGTAGTAGGAGAGTGTTTCAGCGGGGACTCATTTCACTGCTACACACAAACACCACAGCGTGGTGAAACCAAGAATGGCGGCTGGCGGCAGCTGTCACGGCAACATCGAAACTTTGAACGCAGGAGAAGAGCTTACACGACAAAATAGCATGAGGTGATCAGTAAACCTTGTAAGGTAGCTTGTATGCTTCACAGAAACACGACTCGGCATGAAAATGGTGACGTTGCTGGACATTTTGCTCCCTCGCCTCTGTTAGTGCACCCCAGGGCAGCTGTGGCTACATCATAGCTCACCCCCACCAGCGTGTGAATGGGTGAATGACTGTAAAGTGCCTTGGGGGGTTCCAGGACTCTAGAAGGTGCTATATCAAATACAGGCCCTTTACCATTTGCTCAGTTTTAAGGCTTTTTCCAGACTCTGAACCAGCAAATGGCTGCAGGCAGTGAAGCAAAAGGCAGAACGTGTCCGCCCTGGGACTGGGAGATCGGGGTTCAAATCCTGGTCGGGTCATACCAAAAACTTTAAAAATGGGACCCAACACCTTCCTGCTTGACACGCCGCTTTAAGGGGTTGGACTGGGGGGTTAAACCACCTAGCCACTGCTGCAGCTCACCGCTCCCCAAGGGGTTGGGTCAAATGTGCAGGACATTTTCACCACACACCAGTGTGTGTGACAACTATGAGATTTTAACTTTAACTTAATGAAAACTAGGGCTGCACGATATTGGGAAAACCTGTGATATTCGATAACAGTGCTTAATACTGCGATATCGATATTACTCACGATAAATGAACAAATACTAAAGTATGCAGTGTTGATGTCTGCGCTGGGTTCAAAGCAAACAAAACTAATGCATGAATTCCATTACAACATGACATTTTTATTGCAAAAATATGCAGCTGCACCCTCTACTGTATTAGCAGCTGCACCCGCTACTGTATTAGCAGCTGCACCCGCTACTGTATTAGCAGCTGCACCTGCTACTGTATTAGCAGCTGCACCTGCTACTGTATTAGCAGCTGCACCTGCTACTGTATTAGCAGCTGCACCCGCTACTGTATTAGCAGCTGCACCTGCTACTGTATTAGCAGCTGCACCCTCTACTGTATTATCAGCTGCACCTGCTACTGTATTATCAGCTGCACCTGCTACTGTATTAGCAGCTGCACCCTCTACTGTATTAGCAGCTGCACCCTCTACTGTATTATCAGCTGCACCTGCTACTGTATTATCAGCTGCACCCTCTACTGTATTATCAGCTGCACCTGCTACTGTATTAGCAGCTGCACCCTCTACTGTATTATCAGCTGCACCTGCTACTGTATTAGCAGCTGCACCCTCTACTGTATTAGCAGCTGCACCTGCTACTGTATTAGCAGCTGCACCCTCTACTGTATTATCAGCTGCACCTGCTACTGTATTATCAGCTGCACCTGCTACTGTATTAGCAGCTGCACCCTCTACTGTATTATCAGCTGCACCTGCTACTGTATTATCAGCTGCACCTGCTACTGTATTAGCAGCTGCACCCTCTACTGTATTATCAGCTGCACCTGCTACTGTATTAGCAGCTGCACCCTCTACTGTATTATCAGCTGCACCTGCTACTGTATTAGCAGCTGCACCCTCTACTGTATTAGCAGCTGCACCTGCTACTGTATTATCAGCTGCACCTGCTACTGTATTAGCAGCTGCACCCTCTACTGTATTAGCAGCTGCACCCGCTACTGTATTAGCAGCTGCACCCGCTACTGTATTAGCAGCTGCACCCTCTACTGTATTAGCAGCTGCACCCGCTACTGTATTAGCAGCTGCACCCGCTACTGTATTAGCAGCTGCACCCGCTACTGTATTAGCAGCTGCACCTGCTACTGTATTAGCAGCTGCACCCTCTACTGTATTAGCAGCTGCACCCTCTACTGTATTAGCAGCTGCACCTGCTACTGTATTAGCAGCTGCACCTGCTACTGTATTAGCAGCTGCACCCTCTACTGTATTAGCAGCTGCACCCTCTACTGTATTATCAGCTGCACCTGCTACTGTATTAGCAGCTGCACCCTCTACTGTATTAGCAGCTGCACCCTCTACTGTATTAGCAGCTGCACCCTCTACTGTATTAGCAACTGCACCCTCTACTGTATTAGCAGCTGCACCCTCTACTGTATTAGCAGCTGCACCCTCTACTGTATTATCAGCTGCACCTGCTACTGTATTAGCAGCTGCACCCTCTACTGTATTAGCAGCTGCACCTGCTACTGTATTAGCAGCTGCACCCTCTACTGTGTTAGCAGCTGCACCCTCTACTGTATTAGCAGCTGCACCCTCTACTGTGTTAGCAGCTGCACCCTCTACTGTATTATCAGCTGCACCCGCTACTGTATTAGCAGCTGCACCCTCTACTGTATTATCAGCTGCACCCTCTACTGTATTAGCAGCTGCACCCTCTACTGTATTATCAGCTGCACCCTCTACTGTATTATCAGCTGCACCTGCTACTGTATTATCAGCTGCACCTGCTACTGTATTATCAGCTGCACCTGCTACTGTATTAGCAGCTGCACCCTCTACTGTATTAGCAGCTGCACCCTCTACTGTATTATCAGCTGCACCTGCTACTGTATTAGCAGCTGCACCCGCTACTGTATTAGCAACTGCACCCTCTACTGTATTATCAGCTGCACCTGCTACTGTATTAGCAACTGCACCCTCTACTGTATTAGCAGCTGCACCCTCTACTGTATTATCAGCTGCACCCTCTACTGTATTAGCAGCTGCACCCGCTACTGTATTATCAGCTGCACCCTCTACTGTATTAGCAGCTGCACCTGCTACTGTATTAGCAGCTGCACCCGCTACTGTATTATCAGCTGCACCCTCTACTGTATTAGCAACTGCACCCTCTACTGTATTATCAGCTGCACCTGCTACTGTATTAGCAGCTGCACCCTCTACTGTATTAGCAGCTGCACCCTCTACTGTATTATCAGCTGCACCCTCTACTGTATTAGCAGCTGCACCCGCTACTGTATTATCAGCTGCACCCTCTACTGTATTAGCAGCTGCACCTGCTACTGTATTATCAGCTGCACCTGCTACTGTATTAGCAGCTGCACCCGCTACTGTATTATCAGCTGCACCCGCTACTGTATTAGCAGCTGCACCCTCTACTGTATTAGCAGCTGCACCCTCTACTGTATTAGCAGCTGCACCCTCTACTGTATTATCAGCTGCACCTGCTACTGTATTATCAGCTGCACCCGCTACTGTATTATCAGCTGCACCCGCTACTGTATTAGCAGCTGCACCCTCTACTGTATTATCAGCTGCACCTGCTACTGTATTAGCAACTGCACCCTCTACTGTATTAGCAGCTGCACCCTCTACTGT